TCCCAAAAACACAGCATACGTAGCCGCTCCCAAGTAGGGACTTGTCTCTGGAAAGCCTCGATAAAAGACGCCGACGTCTCCTCTGATGATGAGCGCTAGAGTCGTGGTAGCAACATGCTATGTGTTTACATCCATCGCCGCCATGTTTGCAATGACTTGTCGCGAGAACAAACGTAGTCACGCATGACTTTAAAAGCATTTCGTACTTAATGGAAACACCGCAGTTGCGAAACTGTGTTTTTTTACATTAACAGAATATCGACAAAGTTTTGCGCACATTTGCAATGGAAACACAGCTATTGTTCTTTTAATGAACACGTTTCTTCCCCCACAGTTTAACTTGAATTACACGTTATTGTTTAACGTTAAAGCCGTGCTCCTTCTCCTTGCAGTTGGCGTGTACCTGTGGCCTGGCTCCTCCTGGCATGATGTCAGCCAGCTACAGTGAGGTGGATGCCAACACTACAGGGAACTAYGACATGCTGGAGGGGAACAGGGTTAGACGGGAGACCATGCTGGTTGACCTGGCAATGGAGAGTGACCAAGTGACGGGCCATGTTGGCTCCAGGGCTTACAGCAGCGTCTGGATCGACACACATGCCATCGACATGTACTCCAGGGTCATCTTCCCTGGAGCTTACATCCTCTTCAATATTATCTACTGGTCTATTTATTCTTAATGCAGTCTCACTGGGCTGCAGATGTTGCTGACTAGTTGGCAAACAGCATTCTCAGGGGAGTTTCCAAAACGTCTCAATGTTTGCTGGGGTTTTCAAAGGTTTTTCCAGTTTTCCTACTTGAGTCACAGAATCATGCAGTCCTGTAGCTTGATATGTGAACATGAACAAAAAAAAAACCTAATTCTCTCAGTCAAAGAACTGTATGGACGCTCTCCTCTGTGTCCAGGTCTTACCATGCCAATAATAAATATACGTTTTTAGAAAGAAATCTGTTTATCTTTTTTTTTTACAAAGTTGTTGTCCACCAAATTAAATCAGATAATGGAGGCGGCTGCCAAAGCGCGAGAGGGGGGCAACAGAATGCCGTTATTTAAAGGGATCCCTGATTAGTTGTAACATTAGAATTTATTTGATAAACATATATTTTAACT